CAAATGAATGCAGAGAGTGGCTGAAAATGGAGTAAGCAAAGAGCAAGCCTGTTTTTAAAAGTGGGACGTTCTACCTGTTTCAAAAGGTAGCTGCCAGAGAGTTACGTGTCAGCTGCCGGCCTTCTGATCCACGCAGGCCCTGCGGGCACAGTCAGAGGGGAACATGGGAATGGAACAGATCACATGGTTAGACGAAATCGTTTTGAAATGTGAACAGTTTGAAAACCTTCATTGTCAATGTGAAAATAGAGAAGTGAGTAGAAACCCCCCCCAGGGCCTATCACCCTGCCTCTCACCCTTCCCCACCCACATTCAAGGTCAGCTGGACGTAAACCAAGGGGACACGAAGAGTCAGAGTCTTCTCTAATCATTGTGAACTGAATTAGGTCTCCAAAGCCACAAAACAAAAAGTTCGTTGAAGAAAAAGAGGATCAGTGGCCAGGACTGGGGACCTCCAACCGTCCATAATAAATCTTCCCAAATAACAATTACAGACGTGGACAGACATTTCCCTGCTCAGTCCTCGGAGCCGCCAGGAAAAGCCTCGGTTGACCAGAGCACCTGACCATCCCTTTTGGCCTAAGGAGCCTACCCATTCCCCCAGATACTGTGACATGACAATCAACTCTGTGGGTCAAGATGTGGGGACAGTTGGGGGGCACTGCTTTTCTTGTCATTTCTACCACCTGTACTGAGGTCTGCTCTGATTTATAGGCAATACAGAGGTTCTGGGTAGAATTCTTAATGTAGAGCTACATAGTCTCTTGTGGCCACAGAGTCATGGGAACCCGAGATGAGTCATCAGTGGCCTTGGGGCCCATGGAAGGTTTCCTGACGCCATAATACTGTAATGGGGTCCAGAACTTGGGGTGTCTGGGAATATAGGATATCTCCCATAGACCTGTCGGGGGGGTGGGAGGCATGGAGCAGGGCCATTGGGAGTAATTTTGCATATCAATAATAGGCTGGCTAGGGAAAGGTACATGTGACTTTGACCCATGTAATATAACTTGGAGGCAGCTCTTCTTACCACACCTGTGCTAGAGCTTGGAGATGGTTCATTCCACACCATGGGGCCATACCTGCCCGGACTCCCTCTAGTGGCCAAGGAAGGCTGAAAACACAGGAGTGGTGGCACTTATAGACGATTGTGGGAGGAGTCAGAAACGAGTTTATGGAGGAGGTTCCAGGCTGGAATTTAAACTAAAGGCTGGCCACCACGAGGTACAGCAAGGACAAGGGCAAGGATTCGGGGCAAGGACAATGTGAGACTCTGCAGGAAGAAAAGGGCTGAAAGGACTCTCTCAGATGGACCATGAGGAGGGGCACCTGGTTTTGGATTAAGAACTGGAGATCACAGCAGCGACACAGCTGATGGTGCTGGAGACTGCAAGAGACCTGCCCAGCTGAGCAGGGATTACTGGAGAAATCAGCAGTTAGCTGAGCTACAGACTTCTATTTCTTTTCCTACGGTACAGTAGCCCCGACCAGTGGCCTGACTGGGCAAAGGGAGGAAGGCAGGACTCTCTCTCTCTCTCTCTCTCTCTCTCTGTGTGTGTGTGTGTGTGTGTGTGTGTGTGTGTGTTTCTGGGTGTTTTAAAGGACCTTTGGGATTTTAACAGTGACACTCCACCATTACTCTAAACCTGCTTAACTTTTGAAAAACTTTCCTTTTCACCAAATTCTGGCATTGAGAGCCACAGTTCCTACCTGGCAAGGGCAAGATGAACCTAGTACAGAAAGACCCTGGGGGAGGGGGTCTGTTTCAATAATAGCACCTAGGCTCCCCAAACGGGTCTACGCGGTAACAATACTTGGTGTTATGCTGATCCGGGAGGCTCTGTGCCCAAAGGTGGGGGCTGTGCCAGAGGAGCTCAGGCCAGGCCTGGCTCCCCAAGGAAGGCCGTGAGAGATGGTGGTTTTTATAGTTAGAGGGGGAGTTTTTGTGTTTAAAACCTTCATTACTACTTGAGGAGAGATAAAGACCTGGCCAGGGAAGTGTCTGTCCCTCTAGGAGAAAAACATCAAATTGTTGAAAAGTTTTGCCATTTTTTAAGAGAGTTTGGAGACCTTAAATCAACTATACTGAATCCAAACTCGAGAACCTACTATTAGACACAGTAAATGTGAAGATCATGAATAATGAGCTCGAAAGCTACAGTTCTTTACTTGGGCTTATAGAAAGCATGAAAAGGAGAAAATTCTAAATATATTAAAGTTCAGCTGATCGTTGACATGACAAGCAAGGTTAACTCCTTAGAAGACACATCCAACAAATTCAACATCAAGTAGCTGCAACCAAAATAGCCTTCAAACACCTTCAGAAAAATGGAGAACAGCTTCAGAGGGCCCTGACAGAGGCTTTGAAGGAAAAGTCCAGTCTTCAGAGAAGCAGAAAGCTGCTTTCATAGGAATCTCAAAAAGGGCAGGAGGAGTGGCAAATTTACTAAGGAGAGAAGAAAATCAGAAAACCTGCCTGGAGAGCGAGTTCTTAATAGTAGTGAGACCAAGCCTGTAGGTGAACACCTGCTACAGAATAGCCCTTGGGCTGCCATTCCTGGGGAAGACAACGTGGATTGTGGGAATGTGGAACTAGATATATCGACGGCATCAGAAAACGGAAACCTCTTAATTGAGGAATCCAAAGGATTGTTGATGTTGGCAACTGTGTTTAATACCGGTTGACAAATTCTTGAACAAAAAACTCTTGGACATGGGCAATGAATGGTGTGGTGATTGCTGCAGGGAGAGGGTATAAGGGAACTAAATGGTAATGGAAAAATATAACAAAGATCTTTTTAAAAGCAAATATACAAAAACAAACTGCATAAGCTAGAATTTTCAATACACTTAAAAAAATCATTTGAAAACTCTCCAGCCAATAAAGCTTTGTTGCATTCCAAACACACCCAGGTAGAAAGGGAGGGGCAAAAAGTCCAAAAGAAAGATCAAGTCCTGGCTGAACTTCATCAAGAAAAAGAAACAAATTTGTATCCAATTTAGAGAGAATATGGCTCCATTTAAGGTGGAAGAGAATCTTTCCAAACCATATTACTAATGCATATAAACAGCTACACATTTTTAAAATTAAAAAAAATTATTTCAGAAAAATTAATAAGACTAAGTATTATTAACACTTTCTTATTTGCAGGATACAAAAGCTCATATTATTGAGATAAGAGATCTATTAGCTCAGAGAAACCTCAATAACTTAAAGCAAATGCATACATGACACAAACATTAAGAAACAACTTATATTTTCTGGAAATGAGCCTCCCATTCCCTAATTTAAAAAAGGCGGGTGACATTTCACAGACAGAGGCCTGAGACCACAACCAGGAACCTTCCAGAGTCCGGATTAAGGGAGGAGGCACGTCTGGCTGTGATAAGGGAGGGAATGCAAGCTCCATGCTTGGTGTCCATTAGTTCTCAACCCCCGGGACCCCTCCAAGCTGGTTGACTCCATCCTGACTCAGCAAGTGGTCCAGGAGAGCAAGGCAGAGCCGTGTGGTGCAAGCAGTGATCTTACAAAGAAAGCACATGTTGAAGAATTGAATAAAATAGGAGGGAACAGCCTAGATAGAGGATATCAGGCCGAGAGGCAGAATTAATAGCTTTCAAATATCTGAAGTCCCAGATGGCTAAGATTTATTCCCTATCTTCAAAGCATTACATTCTCAAGTATCATATGGGGCAGTTCAGGATGCAGATACTCATTCACTGTAAACATGAACTTGTCAGTGGTAGCTGTCCACAAACTCGATGGCCCACTCTTCTGGGAGGTCTTTGTCCAGATTCCCTTTATAGGCCTTCTGACCATAATAAGACATTTAACCAATTTCCCTCACTTAGGAAATTAGGTATACATAAAGAATTACGGTCATCAGTAATTATTCTCAAGAAATTCATACCACAGTATTTCTCAGGAAGATAAAATCATGACTTAATCATGTAACATTTTAAAAGTCTTATGAAATATTTATTCAAAAGTTATGCGAGCTAATTGTCTAATATGTTCCTAAAAATAATTAGACTTACCTCATGAGGTACATGGGTCCTGATTGGCCCTTACGACTGCCAATCATTTCAACCTCAGGAGAGGTTATCAAAGGGCCAAATAGGACTTCTTCCCCCCAACCCTAAACCCCATGACCCACATTTGCAGGGGGCAAATTTCCAAAAAGATGAAGGATTCAGATATCATCAGGCATGTGTTTCTCTAATGGTTTAAACTGAAAATGCTTTTGATTTTCTCAGGAAATTGAGAACATTTTTTTTCCATTTGAAATTCATCCAACAGAAATATGATATATCACATACCTCTATGGAGTTCTTAAAGTGGAAATATGTGTTTACTGAAACTAGACTTGGAAGTACTGATCTCAGAGATTGTTTTGGAATGTGAGAAAGTCATTATTTGCTGCCATTCTAGCACTTTATTTTGAATTTGTTAAATTCACTGATGTGTGAACTGGTTATCAAAGCTTGATAAACAGCTTATAAATCACTTTGAAGTTGGCAGAAATAAATATTAATGAATCAATTTTCAAGGAATTTAAAATCAGTTTCTCCTTCTGTCACCATAAGTTAAAAAGGGAATCTCCGTTTTTTCATTTAGGAAAGAATCTACAATTTTTTTAGTGATAATTGCTACTTATCAAGATAGTCATAGGACTATTTACGATATGAAACCAATTTACTTAAAAGAATGCTCACTGTAAATCCATCAAAGATTTCATAGGATAAAAGTTTTGTTTAAAACTTACTTATAAAACACAATCACAGTGATGATTCTAACCCTTTGAGATACTAAAGTATCATGCTTCATCGAGGTTTTGCTGGGTAATGGCCTCAGAACAGGGAAAGAAAAAAGTTAATCTTGTTAAGCTTCCATAATTTCCAAGTGCATCATCACATGCTTTTAACCCACAAACCTTAGGTATGTGGCTCATCTCTGAGTTCTAAAAATTCAGACAGTAAAATATGGAGTGGCTGCCTACCTCTTCCGATAATTTTTGTCCCTCCAGGTGCGCCTGCATCACAGCATCATTAACAAGCAAGTGGAAGTTCAGGAGCACGTGTTCTATGTCATACGCCCCATGCATGGCATCTGAAAGCTCTTCCAACGACCTGAGGTACGCGTGCCAGTGCGGATCCAGCTCCGCCATGTGTGCCAGGCAGCCCCTCACGACGTTGAGGCAGTACCCCATGCAGGGCTTACTGAGCATGAGGCCCTGGCACTGCGGGCAGTACTGCATCCTGAGGAGGCCTCTGCCACACTCTTTGGAGAAGTGCAGATGGTCTGTGGTATTGATGACTTCAATGCCCAGATTCAGGGCCTGCAGAAACGTGCGGCTGGGCAGCAGTGACCTCCCCATCTGCCCCATCACTCTTTGGGGGATGTTACCAAAAGGACTAATATCCCGGCGAGCCATCCGGATGCATTCCGAGTATTCCAGGGAACTGTCCGTCACACCGGGGTTAATGAGATGATTGTAGACTAGAGGAAAAAGACTGTCAAAGAATCTGTTCACAAACTCTTCGGGATTAACATCTGCACCAAATAAATAGAGCCCTACATCAGTGAAGAACTCTTGAACTGAAGTGGCAGCCTCTAAGGCCATGTTCCTGTAGGTGTTGCAGAAAAGTATACTGGTGTAATTTTCTGCTTGTCTGATGAGAGTTTCAAGGGTTTCTGCAACAGAAGCAGAGGTAAAGGATGGAAAAGCTTAGTATTCATGTTATAACGGTTCGTCCATCTGCTCCAGAGAGCAGATGAGCTTAATGCGTTGAAACTAACCTAAGGATTGGTTTACACACTAATTTAGCTTTCAAACCCAATTTAGCTTTCCAAGGATAATGGCTGGTCAACAGTGAGCATTACACATGGCACACTTGTTTTAAAGAAATGCATTTCCTAGAATCAAACACCTTTAAAAAGTACAGAAATAAAGAAGGATAAACATGTATGGCGTTTTCAGATTTTATTTCACAGTCATTCATAACCCACTAATGATGGAAAAAAATGTGGCACCGAGAAAACAATTTCCCATCGTGAGTTCATTAATTTTTTTCAGTTTTTTTGTTTTGCTTTTTTAGAAGAGAAACAAATAAGTAATGCACTAGTTACTCCAAAGAGAGGCTAAGTTCAAAGGAAAGCCTGGCAATCCTCAGATCTCCCAGCATGTTCAAATTAAAAAAAAATATGAGTACCCCTAAATTTTCAAACCCCATTTAGCCAGTGGGAAAGTCATGGACAGTATTAGCTGATGAAAATAAGTAATTATGAGATCATCTTCTCAACTGTCTTCTGTTGTTCTTGTCATCTTTATTTATTGGGATGATACTGGTTAATAAAATTATATAGATTACAGGTGTACAGCTCTATAGTGCATCAACTGCATATTATATTTTGCGTTCACCACCTGCGTTGAGTCTCCTTCCATCACCATTTATCCCCCCTGTACCCTCTTCTACCTCCCCCACTCCCCTTTTCTTCTGCAAGGAAGGTTGTCTGTGTCTATGACTTTCTTTCTGCTTAATCCTTTCACCTTTTTTACCCAGCCCCCCAAACCCCTGCTTCTGTGACAGCTGTCAGTCTCTTCTTTGTGTCTCTGAGTCTGTTGCTATTTTGCTGGTTTATTTTGTTCATTAGGGTTCATGTATGAGTGAGATCATATGGTACTTGTCTTTCTCTGACTGGCTTGTTTCCCTTAGCATAATAATCTCCAGGTACATGAATGAAGTCAAAAAAGACTAAGATTTCCTCTTTTTATAGCCAAGTAGTATTCTACTGTGTAAATATACCACTGATTTTTATCCACTCATCTACTGATGGACAGGGGCTGCTTCCAAATCTTGGAGACTAGAAATAATGCTGCAATGAACATAAAGGTGCTTATTGTCTTTCAAATTATGTTTTGGGCTTCTTTGGATAAATCCCAGAGGTAGAATCACTGGGTCATAAGGCAGTTCTACTTTTAATTGTTTGAGAAAATTTCATACTGCTAGTCTTCAGTTGGTTATTCAGGTTGATTGTTCTACAATTTAGTTGTAATTTCAGTTTGGTCCGGGGTGGGGGGGCAGTGAGTGTACCTTCCACCTTCTCTGCCACCATCTTGGATCTCTTGTTTATCATCTTCTTATTTTTAAAGACTTTCCTGTGGGGCTTTTTATTTTCTTACTTGAGCAGCTGATGCTTCCAAATCAATTTCTCCACAGAAAGAACAGGAAATAATTCATCCACAAAGTAAGGGAGGTTGTAGTAGTCAGCCAGTAAATGTCATATTTCAAAATGACAGCTTTAGGTAGCAGTCACCTTGAATATACCAGTAATTACATTTTATAACTAGCCTAAATATAATACTGGGCTATATTAATATATAATTAAGTATAAAATATACCAATAAAAGTATCTCCCCCAAACTTGATCTTATAGTTTTTAATTAGGTTGCAAAAGACCACACAATAATTCAGTTACCAAATCAGTGATTAGGTGATTACCAAAAGACATGAAACAACATTAGAATAAAATGAAATAATAAAAACCAGAGGTGCAAGGAGAGCTGGTGAAATGGGACCGAATCATGAATATGCCACAGTATCCGAAGAGAAACTAACCACTTTCACAAAAAGCACAGACAAATAAAACACAATGTCATGTGTCCTGATTGTGTTCTTAGACTACTTCAGATTGGCTGCCAGGCTTTCGTGTGATATCAAACCGCATGCTACTGTATCCCCCTTAAAATCCATATGTTGACACCTAATCTCCAACGTGATGGTACTGGGAAGTGGGGCCTTTGGGAGGTGCTTAGGTGATGAGGGTGGAGCCATGATGAATGGGATTGGCACCTTTAGAAAAGACACTTCAGAGCACTCCCTAGCCCTTTCTGCCAGGTGGGAACTTAGAATATAGGGCTGTCTGTCAACCAGATAATGGACTCTCACAAAATTATGAATCTATGGGCACCTTGATCTTGGACTTCCCACTTTCCAAACCTGTGAGAAAGAAACCTCTTGTTTATAAAACCACCCAACCTATGATAGTCTGTTGTATCAGCCTGAAATAAAAGACAGCATCTACCTTGCAATCAAAGGCAACAGACTTTAAAGGCTGTTGCCACGGGAGTACTACAAACTGTAGGCTGTTAACTAGGTACAACTCATGTGTTACCTGTGCATCTGCAGTACTCTCTATAACAGAAGCTGCATCCTAATACTCAAAATGTGAAAGATGAAAATAGGGTGGTAACAGAGGGTTTCAACTGACATTAGCTGCCCTGCCCAGTGAGAGCGAATTACCATCAGTTTTCCCAACTGGCCCGATCGCCAGAGCTGCCTGGGAAAAATACTGAGTCCAGGTCTCAGCACTGTGGGCTGTAACTCAGCACATCTGTTATTGGTGCAGGAATCTACATTTAACTAGCAGTCAAAAAAGAAAAAAAAGAAAAAGGAAGGAGGAATTTTTCCAACTTCTGACTTGGCCAGTTTTTGAAACACTGCAATTGTAGGTCTCCATTAAATGTTTTCTTTCCTTTTACCAAGTGGGTTAACAAGCATTCCGCCATGATAGCCTGACCCCACAGCTGTGATCTGCAATCTCAGCTACTACTACAGCTTTCACAGGTCCACATGAGTGTGAAAAGCAAATTCCACCTTTATGGTTGAAACAAACATAACATGCTAAGCTTATTTATTTATCTATCTATTTATTTATCAGTAACACAGGCTCATTTCTCTGAGTACCTTCTGTGTGTCTACAAACTGTGAGGTAGGTTGCAATTTTCTTTTTGGTAAGATAAAATAAGAACAGGTTCAAAGATACCCCTGTTTCACGGGCACTCTTGCATGCTTCCCACCGTTTGCTAAGGTGCGCACTACATACAGACGTGTGTGACGGAAAGCTTCCGTGTCCCTCCGTGCAATGAATGTTGAATGCCACCCTGGGCAATAGTGCAAAGGTTCCAGTTGACTTGTGCCAACTGTAAAAAAAGTAAAATGTTTCTTCCTAAGTTCCAATCCCACTAATTTACAACTTACTCAGAATGTAGGGAATTTAACTTTTTCATTGCTCCAACAGACTTCCAAATTAATTTGTTTTGTAAAAACCATATTAAAGAGAAAACATTTACTATTCAGTAGTGCATTACAACAATAACTACAACAGCAAATGAGTATAGCACTTGTTGCACTACTGGTAACATCCTAATTTGATTATCTTTGAGTTTGTAATTAAAAAGTAAATTTCTGAAAACATACTACAATGTTTATTTTATTTCAGGCTAGTGTTCTTCTGCTTTACTGTTATTATTTTTAAACAAAATAACTAAAAAACCGATGAAAATTTTAGAAATTGTATTAAAATTTAAAGCTATTCCTAATAAGATATATATTAAATTTTTATCTTTCATAATTATGTATTAATGTTAATAACCCTTGAATGAAAAATTATATGTTCTCAAATGCCAACATTCTGATTATTTCTCCAATAGCTAAACATCCAATGGCTTTTAAAAATGAATTTATTTTGCAGTCAGTTTTCACTATTCCATTGCCTCATCACAATCTATTTCTCCTTTCAATCTTTATTAAAGCTGTACTGACACATTCCAGTTAACTGAATTATCTAAACATATGTTAAGTATGTATTTTTGATTTACTTGTATGTGTAATAATAAATATGTTTTAATCCAATAAATGAGAATGAAATGTAAACATTCATTGTATACACATTTCATTTTTTAATATGGAGAATTAAACATTTGTGAAGTTTTGGTCATAAAAGCTTCATGAAGTCTTAATGTATAAGCTCATATCAGAAACTGAACAATCTATAAGGCAATCCATTGAATTATTTTGTTAATAACTGTTGTAAAAAGCTGGTAAAATAAGAAGTTGAATTCACTAATATTAGTTGTTGTATCAACTGTGAATTTGCAAAACTATCACTTTATTCTTTACCTACGTTTATCACAGAGTTGAATATTTTTCCATTTTATGAAATTAAAGTTTTTATTTTAACAAGAATTTAAACTTTTCAGAGAACTGTCAGATGAATGACATATTTTGCTATGATGCAAAAGAATACTTCACATACAAAAATCAGAGTTTATAAATTTAATGTAGGCTAGGTGCTGAATAATTCATCCTATCTACATACGTGTTAAAAAAACACTAAACAGTTCCTTTCATTACAAAGTTTTACTAAACAAAAAATGCCCCTCATCCAAGCTACACAGGTAACAGCTTTCCATTCATGTGCTAAAGATCATAACATTTCTTGAAAAATAAATAAACATTTCTTAGGTTTGATTAATGAATTGAAGAAACAGACTAGAAAAAAAATGATCATTTACTGTTTTTCACTGAGAATTTCTGTAAGCTCTTCTTATCAGTAACATCAGATAAAGTTTACCAAGGCAGAAAACCCAACTTTTCTTTTAATTCCTAAGAGTGGTAGATTGAATAAAAACTGCAATCTAATTGCTGATTAAATAAAAACATGGTTTCTTCCAGCTTTATGAGAAAATCAACTTAGGTATTACCTCATAAAATAAACAGTGAAGTTGGAATGCATGAAGTTTATCTGCATCCATTTCAATTTTCAACATATATGTTCTGTAAAATTTCATAATGAAACATCTATTAAGTAGAAATTTTATTTTCAACATTTTCCAGCCCACACTCCCTTTA